GAGAGTTAATTTATAACTTGAGCAAAAAGCTATTCTATTTATATAAAATTAATTTACTATGACTAACTAGTTGCTACACTATAAACTAACTAAATTTGTAATTACAAGTGCTAATATAATGATAATAATAATAATAACGAAGATAATAGAAATAATAATAATAATAAAAATAATGATAATAATTAAAATAATGGAAATAAGCATTATAATAATTTTTTAGCTTATTAAGACTTATCAGGTAAATCCAGTAAATCAGGTAAATTCTCAAAATTCTAAGAATTCTAAGAATCAGGGAAATTAGAAATTATGCTGATCATCTAATTTCATGATCAACATAAAATTAATTCCAGTAACTTCTGCAGATCATTTGATAATTCTTTGTAGATCAACTTTTTAATAGTATATTTTTAACCAGTAACAATATATATCAGATACATAAAAAATAGAAAATATGCCAAAATTTATATTTTTATTTATTTTATATTATCAAATTTGATCACATAAACATACAAAATAATATCACAAATTTATATAGTAAAAATTGTCATAATGATATATATCTTGAAAAAAACTTACTCAAAGTCAAAAAGAAAGAATTATTGTAACAAAAAAGTTAAACATTCTAATAACAGGATATTCACAATAGTATGACATATGTAGATTGTTATGAGCTAAAAAGCCTTTCAAAAAAAGAACAGGTTGACTAAAAATTTTTAATGATTCTAAATGTAAACATTTAAAGCGTTCTATTATTAGAAACAAAAATCTGTCATCAAATCCTTTCTTAAATATGTTTAAATTATGTAAATAAAGCATATAAAACAGTTTCTACATAAACTATTCATAAATAATTAGCTAAAGAAAGTCTTCATTTGCAAATTTCCTGTCTTAATCTATTAATTTCTAATAGTAATAAAGAAAAATAGTATTTATAAATTTGTACTTATGAAAATTGAATAGTAGAAGAATTTAAAAAAATTATCTGGTCAAGTGAGTTTACATATACACAATTTAGAACTTAAGATTTTGAATATATATGATATAAACTATTTTAAGAAATCTATGAAAATTGTATTACTGTTATATCTAAAAAAACTTTAGTTTTATGTTTCTTTTAGGTTGGTCTGGATTCTTTAATTCCCTTGGTTGATCATATTACTGGAATTTTACATTATAAAATTTTGGCTAATTATGTAATTCTTATAGTTAAATCTTATGCAAAAAATAATTTCTTTTCAAGAAGATAATTCATCTGTTCATATTGTGAAGGTTACTTATTCTTTCTCATATTCTCAAAAGTTGAGATACTTTTCTGACTGATGTAGAGTCAACAATTTCATAGCAATATATATGATAAGAATCAAAAAAGATATAACAAAAATTACAAGGAAATTATATAATAAAAGAAAGAATACTATTTTACTAAAAGAAGAATACTAATAGCTAGAGTTCCTCAAAATTGAATCAAATCAAATATTTAAGCAATTTGAATTTGATTTGATTTTTTCAAATCGAATCGAATCGATCAAATTAAATTAAATCAAATCAAATATAAATTTTTTTTTAATTTTTATAATGATATATTAAAATAAAGTTATTCTAAAGTTTTAATTATGAAATTATTAGTAATTGCACTAAAAAATTTCAAAGATAGTTTTTACAAAGTAAATTTAGTAACAGATAAATTTTTACTATTAAACTTAGTAAAATAACTCTGCAGTTTCAGTTTTACTAAGAAAAACTGCTATCACAGTTTCAGTTTACTAAGAAAACTTAGTAATTATCATCATCGTAGCTTCAGTTTACTAAGAAAACTTAGTAATAACCATCATTGCAACTTCAGTTTTACTAAGAAAACTTAGTAATAACCGCTATTACGACTTCAGTTTTACTAATAAAACTTAGTAATAACCACATTATGGCTTCTGTTTTATTAAGACAATTTAGTAATAACTGCCATTTCAGCTTTGTAACAATTTTATTAGTAAAAAAATGTTTTCGAAGCTGTGCACGCATTTTTTTACTAGGTTTTTTTAGTAAAATAACATCTCTAAAACTGTGAAGACATTTTTTACTATATTTTTCTTAGTAGAAAGACATTTTCAAAGCTGCAGTAGCATTTTTTACTATAGTTTTCTTAGTAAAAAAGGTATTTCCGAAGCTGTGGTAATGCTTTTTGCTATATTTTTCTTAGTAAAAAGGCATTTCTGAAGTTGCGAAGACACTTTTTACTATAGTTTTTTTAGTAAAAAGCCACTTCTGAAGCTTTGGAGATAGCTTTACTATTGATTCAAATCAAATCAAATATTTGAATACTTGATTTGAATTTGATCGAATCGAATCAAACATTAATTTGGATTTGATCAAATAAATCATTCTTTGATTTGAATTTGGTCGAATCAAATCAAATATTTAAATATTAAATCAAATTGTGAAATCCTACTAATAGTATAAAAGAAAAATTATCAAATTCACATTGGATTTAAAAGTACCAAAGAGAGATATAGTGGTTATGTCTGTATGCTTAAAATAAGACGTATCACTTCTATAGAATGGTATGTATAAGGCGGTATAGTATCAACTGCACGATCCAAGTAAAATCAAAAAAAAAAATTACATAATAAGAATAAATTTCAGAAGAAAATAATTCAGATAAAATAGTTATTGAAGAAGAAAAGATAATTAAAGAATTGAATGAAGGGTTAAGAAGTTAGATAATTAATAAACTGAATGAAGAATCTTATAGAAAGTCTTAGTACAAATATGCAAAAAGGTTATATAAAGAGTATAATAGTTGAGAATAATAAAATAAATCATATGAAAACTTATGTAATATAAAGATAACATATGATATTATAAAAACAAAAAGAAGTTTACTTATAAAACATAAGTAATTGTAGGACTTAAATCAGTAGTAAAATTTGGAATAAGAAGTTAAATAGCAGAATAAATGTGAATATTAAGTGAATATTAAGTATAATATAGTAATAATTAGATTATTTATCACATATTTATTATAAAACTTAAATATCACATAGCAAATAATTAGATTATTCATTACAGGTAATTATTATTCATTATTTTTACTATGTAAATTTATTATATAAACCCTTTGAATATGATTAAGAAATCAAGTTCAATTTTTTTGCAATTTAAAAAAAAAATTATTTTGATAAATAAATACAAATAAAATAAATACTTTTGTTTGAAATAATTAGTTAAGTCTTAAAATAAATAAAGTTATTTTGCTTGAATATAAACTATAAAATTAGAAAAATGTTAATATAGTAATGATAAAATAAAACTAAGAATTAACATAATGAATTTATGAAAAAAATAATAAATACTTAAGAAATATTATCAGCAGAAAGTAATAAACAGAATCAGAAAAAGAAGACGAAATTAGAAATACTCAATAGATTCAGAAATAATATTTAGAGTAATATTCAGAAGTAATAATCAGAAATAATAATTAGAAATAACAATTGAAAATAACAATTGGAAGGAATACCAGATATAATAGAAGAAATAACAAAAAAAATAAAAGAAGAATTATAACTTAAAACATACTCATAATATAGAAAAGTTAATACTTTGTATTAGAATAAGTAATATAAATAATCATAAGTTAAGAAGAAGATAATAAAAAAAATACAGTAATTAAAGAAGATTTAAACAACAATAATATTGTAAAGAATTTATACAAATAGATTAATACTTAATATATAAGAAATGAATTCTTAGCAATTAAATATTAATTTGTAAAACAAATACTCTTGATGACGAGTAGCAGAAATGGTCAAGAAAATACAAGTTATATTGAAACTTACAAACTCAAAAATGTTATATATTTATAAAATAAGGGTTATGGTAATTACACTATCTCAAAGTCCTAATATTAATCTGATAAAGAATCTTTGGTTTTACATTAAAATTAATATTTGCAAATGAACTTCACAACTATCAAGTATTACACAATTGATACATGAGTTAAAGAGAAATAGGATGCTATATCTGTAAATTATTAACGTAATTTGATTAAGTCAATACTAAATTGGATTCAAGTTATTTTTGTAGCTAATAGGAGTTCAACTGAATATTAACCTGTAATTTAATTAAATAAAAAATAATTAAGTTTATAATGTTAGTATTTTGTAAACAATTTTGCAAAAATGACCAATACTAATTATACTCTTCTGTATATACTTTAAATTAATATATCATAATCGAAAATTACAAATCTAATAGATTTAGTAAAATATGATAAATGCTAAGATTTTCTTAATAAAATAATTAAAAAAGTAATCTTCAAAAATAATATATTCTCTTTTTATTATTATTAGATTTATAAAAAAAAATACAACTTTAAAGGAAATATCTGAATTTAATCAATCATTCGCAAATATATTTTTTCACAAAAAAACATTATTTTAGCATAAGTTACAAAGATTGGCATATTTTATAAAATATTATTATTAATTGTTTAAAAAATAAATCAAATTATCAAATTTTTTAAAGTAAAAAAAAAAAAAAAAAAAAAAAAAAATTAAAAAAAAAAATAATAAGCTATGTACACAAATGGGGTTAGGTTTTGGAGTATTATGTATAACGTGAGAATTGGTTTTTATATGATTGGAATTCTATTGATTTATTAAAATAATTTCACATTAAAACCTCTCACAAAGAATTAAAGGTAATCATACAATGCACGATACCAGTATAGTTATTGAAATAAATTTTTTTTTTTTTTTTTTTTTTGCTTGTATAAAAAAAAAAAAAAAAAAAAAAAAAAAAAAAAGAATAAGAAATGTCTATTCGATTAAAAAAAATATATTTAAATACAAGAAAAAAGGGTATGGAGTTAACGCTCCTGTTGAACTTAAAAAGTTAAAAGTTATTTACTATATATAAAACGAAATAGAATTTTGAATAAAATTTTACCATAATTTAATATCGACCAAATCGATATGTTGCAAATAAAGAAACTTGAATCAACAAGTTTAATTATTATTTGCTGGTTTATTATTATTATTTGGGCGTGACGGTAAGTTAGTAGACGGAGGCGGCTGTGAGAATGAATGAGTCGTCGTATGAGCAAAAAAGTGAGCTGAAGGTGAACTAGCTGACGATAAAGGCGATTGCGAAGCCTCAGAGGAATTAATTCTAGGATGATGAATTAATTCAGGGCGATGATTCAACGGCGGTGGTTGTAGTGGATGATAATAACTTAAAGTGTTAGGTGGTTGTGATAATAAACGAAAGCCAAAAGTATTATTTGACGACGCTGTAGGCCCTACAGGCGATGGAGGATGTAATTGATGTACAGGTGGAAGTTGATGCGGATGAGAAGGCGGTGGAACTGATCTAATGTCATGCTGACCACTCGAATCAATTACTGCAGATTTTTGCGAGAAAATATGATGTGGTTGATGTGGTTGGTGTGGCGGTGGTTGCGGTTGGGGAGCCGAAAACATGTGATTTTGTGCAAAATTTATATGTATTCCGTTATTCGTCGGTATAGAAATACTGGAAGGATGAACTGGTGGTAAAGGATGTGTATGAGACAATCTAGTATCATGTGTCTTTTCGTGTTTACGAAGTGAACGTGAATGATAATATGCCTTATTACATCCTTTATATGGACATATGTACGGACGATGATTGGAATGTGTTTTTACGTGTGTCGTCAAGGAATCAGGTCTTGAAAATCTCTTTCCACAACCATTTACAGCGCATACAAACGGTCTTTCTCCCGTATGTGTTCGTAAATGATTGTACATTTTGTGACGTTTTGTGAACGGTTTTTGCCCTCTTGTACATCCCTCCCAATCACAAGAATATGTGGCCTTAAAATTATAAATTTTAAACAATATAAGCAATTAAGCAATTAAGCAATTTATTGAATTTCACTTTCAAATCAATAAAATGAAAACTTACTTTTCCACTGCCGATATGTGAATCACCAACATGTGCAATAAGCAAATCCAATGTAACAAGTACTTTTGTACATCCCCTCCACATGCATTTATGTGTATTCTTTTTATCCTCCTCACTTTCTTGTTTGACGGCGGAAGAGATCGAAGGAGAACTTTGAGTGGAATAACCAGCCACTCCAGATTCAGACTGATTAGCCTCTCTTTTTACGTCTTCCATTTCATCCACAAGAGTAATTGGTGAAACTACAACAGTTAAATATGAATATATTTTTTTTTGAAATAAATAAATAGAAAAAAAATATATATATATATATTTATATATATATTTATAATACATAATATTAACAAATCAATACCATCAGAATCCAGACTCGATCTCCTTGAATTAGAAGAACGCGCTCGTTTATGACCTCTTGAATGAGATGTGCTATCCTTTAGATTTTTTTCATGATATCTTAATTTGTCAATTAACTGATCTTTCGTCATATTAGGATGCTCATACTGTGCTAATCGAACCAAAAGTTGTTCAATTGACATATCTTCAAAAGTAGTAGATGTCCCATTTAATGAAACATAAGGTTCAACGGATTGCGAAGATTCAATCTTGATCGAATCTACATCCTCATTGATAATTTGTCGTGTAATTGAAACAGGTGAATTTGATAAAGTATTGGACGAATTTCTCCTAGATTGATTATCGTGATCTTTTAACGTATCGCTATTCTGAGATATTGCACAAATTGAATCGGGTGAAGTATTTGGGTCCGATTTATCGGATTCTTTCTGTGGTGATGGTAAAGACGCAGTTTGTGATGATATTGCATTGTCAACTAAACCTCCTAAATCTAGTCGTGGTGAATTCACGGAAACCTCATTAGTCTCTGAATTTTGTGTCTCTAAAGTTAATGAATTGGACGGTTGTTGAGATTGCTGTTGCGAAGGCAATTCAGGTGATGATGAAGTCATCGTTGTTGTAGCTTCAATCGATTTTTGTGATGACTGCATATCCAACTGTGGATTTTCATTGACAAAGGTCAATGTTGGTGGCGGTGGTGTATTATTATTGTTATTTATAAGATTTGAGTCTACTAATGCTGTATTATTTACAATTTGCTCCCCATCTACATTAATCAAATTTATTGGAGCAGTATTTTGAGCTTCAATATCTGAAGCATCATTAGGTGCAATACTCCAATTAGAGGTAACAGACGGAACAATTGGATCTTGGTTACATAAATTAGTCATCGGTTGAGATTGGGTGGAGGCCGGCAGAATGGAAGAATCGATTTGAGCCGTTTGTTGCATAATTGACGCGCTAACGGCGGAAGCCTGTAAATTAGCGGCTAACTGGTTATTATTCACGATTTCAAAACATAACCGCCTATTGTGCTCAACTAATTGAGCATTCGTCATCGATCCAACAATCTGAGCATTAGCCAAAGATTCCACAAGTTGCATAGGACCATTACTGACTACGGACTGCACAGCAGTTGTGGTACTTTGATTACTCGATACGGGGTTATCGAGTACCAAAACCATCGGTGATTGATCAGGGTCAACGGAAGCGGATAAATTTTGAGATGCAGCAGCTGGTTGAATTTGAGAAGAATCTGTCGTTTGAACTGGTTGGATTTGAGATTGGGACACCTCAGCGACCGCTTGAGCCGCGGCGGCATGAACTAGAACTTGTTGAGCTACCACCGCAGCAGCAGCCTGCGCGACTTGAACTTGTGCGGCCTGAACTTGCGCATGCACCTGTGCTTGTACCTGTGCTTGAACCTGTGCTTCTGCTTGAGCTTGTTGAGCCTGGGCCACAGCAGCTACCGCCGCGGCTTGAGCAACCTGAGCGGCCTGCACCTGTGCATGTACTTGTGCCTGAACTTGAGCATCAGCAGCTTGAGCTTGAGCTTGGGCCACGGCAACTGCCGCCTGAACGGCCTGAGCTTGTGCCACTTGAACTTGGGCAACGGCTTGGGCTTGAGCTACTTGAACTTGAGCTTCAGCTTGAGCCTGAGCCTGAGCAGCGGCAGCAGCAACCGCGGCGTGTACTTGAGCCTGAACTTGAGCATCAGCTTGAACGATCGCCTCACGATGAGCCTGTACAGGATCATTGTCTATTATCATCTGCTCAATTATCGAAGGAGACTGTTTTGATTGGTCTTGAGATTGTTGATTTTGTTGTTCCACCATTATATTTGAAAACATGGCTCGCATTTCATGTTGAACTTGTGCCTGAACTTGGGCCTGAACTACTGCCTGAACAGATGCCAATGTATTTACAGCGGTCACTTGATCCATCGGTTGTATCTGTGTCTGTCTATTTAAATCTATCAATGCGGGGGTAACAGGAGACGGTATTGAAGATATTATTTCAGCTTGTCTGATAACTTGATTTATCATAGCGGCCGTATGTTGTTGTTGTTGTTGTTGTTGTTGTTGCTGCTGGTGTGTAGAAGAAGATATTACAACTTGCGTTGAACCATTTAGAGAAGTATCAATAGTTAGTTGAGGTCGAGGATCTTGTTGAGATACTAAGGATTGATGATCTAACATTTTTGCAGCGTCATGGACCAAAGGAGGAGGAGGCAATGAAACACTCGGTGATACATCAGTTATTGACATTTGAGTTGAATTTGTTTCTAAAGTGTTTGATGAAGCAACAGTACCCGGGCTTATAACCAATACGGGTAATTGTTCTTGATTAACCAGCATATCTTCCGTCAATTCTTGAGAAGAACTCGTCGCCTCATTTAATGTGACAGCAGTTGTGGTTGTGTTTTGTACTTGTCCGGGTATACTTGAGTCTATTGTGACAACCGATGACTGTTGATGTGGTATAAGTATTATTTGTGTTGTAGAACTTTGTAAAGTGTCTAATGCGGAGTTTGTAGATTGTTTCTGTGGAGTATTTGTGAGATTTAAACCGTTTGAGGTATCACTTGGAGTATTTGTGTTTTGAGTCATCGTTGTCGGTGATATTTGAGCAGCATATTCGTAATTTTGTGATGCCATTTCTATTGGAAAAAAATTTAATTTAACTATTTTGTAACCTGTCAATCGAACGACGAAAATTTTGATGGTGATAAGGAAAAAAAAGTATAAAAAATATAAATAAAAAAATTTAGAAATGTATTTACTTTTGAATTGATTAACTCAAAACAAAAAAAAAAAAAAAAAAAAAAAAAAAAAAAATTAAAAAAAAAAAAAAAAAAAAAAAAAAAAAAAAAAAAAAAAAAA